GGCTCTACCTGCGGGTACCTGTCAGGTATACGAATACTTCACACACCCCATTGTTTTATTGCCTATACACACCGGCAGATTTCACACCTTTAATCGTCCTAATTTACACAAAGCAAATGCTGGGGGAAAACAAACACACGCCCAATAAATGGGACTTTTTTTTAAAATGATTGCTCTAAACGGCATTGCTAAAAGCACATTAAACAAGGAGAGAAATCCCTGCCCTAAGAGATATATTGTACAAAAAATAATCAAAACAGCTAGGGTAAATCCTTCTTTCTTCATATGATGTAAACAACTCTCTTTAATTTTATAATTATGTGTTTAAGTCAAAATTAAAACATTTTGCACCACCCGGACCTTTAAACTTCGGCGGACCTTATCTTATACGGGCCGGACCTTTCCTTATAAAAGGCGGACCTTAAATGTTATCGTATTAGGTCCCCCCGGACCTTTAAACGAGGCGGACCAAATATTATACGACACCGGTCGGTAGGGGATGCTTACTTATCCATGGCACCTGATCCTATCTCTGATGTTTTAGAGGTTCGTGTTTGCTCCGCTCCCGATTTATATTGTGTTAATTGTCTGAACTTGATTAATGTTCATTTTCTCCATATTTAATTCCTATCTTAACGACAGAGACAAACAAAAAACAGAGTATAAGGTCTTATTTATCATGAAGATGTAAGTTTGAAGTGAAATGTTGAAATGTCTGAGTTCTTGTTATAATAAATTAAATATTCAGCTGTTCAAATACCATGTAAATACTTTATTTCATGCCGTGAATTATCTCGAAATAAATAAATTTCATTTAATTCATTTTTCTTATTTATTTTGAGAAGGTAGCCCGATTAGTACGAGACACTTTTCTTCCCCGGATCCTTCTAAATTTCAATTAACATACCCAAAATGGTACAATTAAAGATAAAACATGTAATGATAAGTTCATTAATTAATGCATAATTAAATGTAAAATTAAATGAAATATAGGGTAAATAAAGAAGTCATTATACATAGTTCAGAAGACATAGTTTCAAATAATATGAATTAAATATACATTTCTACTAAAAATATGTAAAGACGGTGACAATTTTACATTTAAAGGTAGGTCATTCCATGAATGTACAGCTGGATATAGAATAGAGTTTGTTGATAGAATTGCTCGATGCTTTGGTGAACGAAGATTATAATTTGATTCTAAACGCAGGGAATAGTAATCATGCATGGCTATGAAAAACAAAAAGATCCTAGAGACATTCAGGGCTCATACCATAATACGTTTTGTACAGTAAACACATTTATGTAATGTAACTACGTACATGTTATTTAAACACATTCAACCATCCTTGTTTTTCAAGCAATGGTTTTGATGGTTCGTTGCGCGCTGCACCAAGAATAATTCTAACAGCCTGTTTCTGAAGTTTAAGGATTCGTTCAGTGTTAGTTTTAGATGCATTACTCAAATCCGTAAGATAATAGTTTATTGAATACAAAAGAGTTTTCTGGTACTTCATGGAAAAAATTTCTTAATTTTACAAAGCGCAAATAACTTGTATGTTAATGATTTACAAACTGTATCAACATGACAAATATACTGAAGAGTTTGATCTATCTGAACACCTGAGAGTTTTCAACTTCCACGTTTGCCAGTTTTTCGCTATAAATTTCTGTATGAAGTTCTGGAATATCTAAATTTGACCTCTTTTGTTGTCTACACATAAGCATACATTTTGATTTGTTCGTATTCAGAATCATTTTGTTCTGTAAACACCAATTATCATTTTCACATAAATTGTAATTTAAATATGTTTCAATATTATGTACATTGCTGTCAGATAAATGCAAAGAAAGTTGCATCATCAGCAAAGATTTCAAGGAAAATCATTAATGTACAATAAAATAGGACTGGACCTAGATAGATCGCTGGAACACCCCTGCTGTGATAGGTAAAATATCGGAAAAAACATGCGCCAATTTTTACACTTTGGGTCCGTCCATTTAAATAAGACTGAAACCACATATATACTTGTCAGTGAATCAAAAGTTATGGTGTCTTAATTCCTCAATTAGGATACCGTGACTGACTAAATCAAATGTTTTACCGAAATCTATGTTATGGCAATTTGATTTCCTTGGTCCATCGCATGCAACCAGCTATCAGTAAGTTTGGTTAGTGCCATTTGGCAAGAATGGAACTCCTTAAAACCAGACTGTGAACTCATAAAGAGATTAAAAGCTCTGGCGAATTCATTACTTGATGAGCAAAGTGCTTTACAAAATTTTTGGATAAAGTTGGTATGATAGATATTGGTCTGTAGTTACTTAGATCACTTTTATCGCCCTTCTTATATATAGGGGTGACGTTAGCTTGTTTCAGATGTAAAGGAGAGATGCCTTTAGTAATGCTGTTGTTACCTAGATGACCTATAGACTTAGATATTATATTTGCAGAAAGTTTTAAGAGACGGGGACCAAAGAAATTTACACTTGCTGATTTATTAGTGTCAAGTGTGCTTAGCATAGTTAGGACCTGGTCCTGGCTTATAGAAAGTAAGCTAAATACGTTTTCATCCCTAAGTTTTGATTTTGTGAATTTTTTTTTACTTCTTGATCATTTAAAGCTATTGTTTGGTAATTTAGCTAATGAAATGCCAGAAATTTTTGTGAAATGCCCATTAAAACATTCACAATGCCTTGTATATCATCAACTTCTGATCCATTGTCCTTAATAAGAGTGTGAGAAAAATATTCGGCTAAGAAGCTAAATGGAGATAGTTCCACATTTTTTTTTAGGACAAGAGCTCTTCTCAATTTCTGATTTGTAATAAGTACATTTAGCATTATTAATCAAAAGTGAAACTTTATTCCTCCGATGTCAAAAGTTTTTAAAGTCTTTGTGTTGATGACAGTAATATAGTAATTGTCTAGCATTATTAATTTCCTGTGTTAACCATTTTGGACGAAAATCAGCTTTTACTCGTTTAGTATTTTGCCTTTGTATGCACATTTAGAATAGCATTAAACAGATTGTAATGAAAAAGATGAAGATAACGAACAGTGATCGATTAAAAAAAAATCTATAACCGATACAAATCTGTAAAGAGGGCATAAAACACGGACTCCTGCAAATTTCAGAGGTGGGATCAAGTGCCTAGGAGGAGTAAGCATCCTCTGTTGACCGGTCAAGGCACCATGAGCCCTATGTATTGATCAGCTAGACGGAACATTTCGTAGTCAAATTTTGTATATTTCGTAAAAGCAAAGGCCTAAATATTTGTTTGAAACACGTCAGCCAAAATACAACCCAAAGAAAGGTTATATTTACTAATAAGGTCATTAGAGCGACCATAGAATTCACGAAATACAGAGTTTGTTGAAATCCCTGTACCATCATTTTATCTGTCAGTAGCCTGCCTCGGTTTAAAAAATTGATTGTTCTCAGAGCATACTTTTGAGTATCGAATAAGTTGGGAGATGTAAACACCATATGCAGGTGAATGCGGGATATTACTTCATAAACAAGGAAAGTTGACGATTGAAAAGTTGAAGTCATCTCGTTTGTCATACAATTTCATTGTTAGTTTGCCCTTATCGTCTAGTCAGTAAAACATCCAAATATTAAGAAGATGTAACAGACTCTGTTGTGTCTTTTATTTCAAGTTCACTTGGATATATCGTATCGACAAATGAATGAAAGTAACTATTGTTATCTGATAATACATATTCTATATATCTAAATGTCCAGTTGAAGGTCACAGCAAGTGTTTTCTTCTTCTCATGTAAAGCTTTTGAATAAAATTTAGACGTGTACTCGGCACTTTGAGCAGTGAAGGATCTTTTTTCGTGCCAGCACCTACTGCCACCTCGGTTTATACGGTCTCGTCGGTCTTGAATTTAAATACAACTTGGAATGAAATTAGAATAAAAACGCCTTTCTTTTTCCAGATACCAATCAATAGTTTTACTTTATTTTGATATCCGTGTTTTGTCAATTGCCAACACTTATATTATATCAAATGCTTTACTCTCGGGATAAATATTCTTTTAATTTACAATAAAGAGATCAGGATTCAGATTTCATCCGTTCATGACACACTAATTACATAAATATTAGTAAATATATCATATACTTTCCTGATCCAGTCACCACATCAGTATTAACATAACTAATTCTGTTACAATATTCTCTTTTTTAAGTTTGTTAAAATTTGTACTTTGCACAAAGTTTGCTTTGTGAGGATTGAAGATACCGAAATGAGATTATCATCCAGCAAACAATACTAATCATGAACAAGGCAAAACACGAACTTCTGAAAGCATCGGGTTGAATTGGGTGCCTAGGAGGAGTAAGCATCCCCTTTCGACCGTGAAGATAACCTGATATTTGAAATTTGGCTATTGGGAAAATTTTTCACAACATTGGACGCTTAACCCGACAGTACTATACACCCACCGTGAATTATATGTATTGATCATAGATAAATAAGAGGATATAAAGAATCAAGCTTTTTTATGAGTGCATTGCTGACATTTTTAACGGTCATTCTTGTTAGTACAATACATAAACAGTTACCTCCTCTATCAGAGGTTACCGAAAAGATAGAAGCTCTAGAGGTTTTATGTTTAACACTCTTTTTGTAGGAGTATTGAATTTTTTCAGTTACATTTCCGGGAAAGAAAAAATTGTTAGAAGTATTTTGTTGCTTAGAACTATCTAGTACTGTCGGGTTAAGCGTCCAATGTTGTGAAAAATTTTCCCAATAGCCAAATTTCAAGTATCAGGTTATCTTCTCAGCTAAAAACATCAATTTATCTATTACTCATTAAGTACATGGATAAAAGTAATTATATGCCGGATAAGGTTTTCATTTTGGACAAAGAGTACACTGTTTATTTGAGAGCAAGTCAAGTATCAAGTCATCAGTGCTTCATGAGTTTACTGGATTACGAACACCCATTGTTGGCCATCATATAACAACCCCCTTAAACATAAGAAGTTACTTTACGGCAAAGATGGGCCTTCTACAAGTACAGTGTTTTTTTTTTCTCTGTGTTCATGTTTGGAACATTTGGTGATTTATCTTTAATTGAAAACAAAGCTTCTGATTAAAGTGGTCAGTTACCTAGTACCGTATCGGGTAAAGCGTCTAACGTCTTACGTGACATTCTGAATCAGGAAAGCCTGGTCCGCTTCTCTATGGTACAAAAGATACAAAGTCTAGTGATGGATGCTATAGACAACAAAAAAGATGGACAAGTTATAAGGGAAAAGCTTAGTGAAGTGACAAAGGAATTACAGGATTTGGAGACTAAAAACCAAATTATGGAGGAAGAAAATATCAAACTTAAAGAGGAATTAAAGGTGATGTACGGGACACTGAATAACAATAGAAACTTTACAAAGGAAGAAATTAAATATCTTGACCAGATGATTGAAAACAAAACTTTAGCTCTTCAAAATCAGAATCATAAATTAGCCTTGAAAAATGCAGATTTTGAAAAACAGCTTGATATGTTAAATAAGACAACAAAGAAGATGGAAAGTGACTTGAGAAAAGATATACAGACATTAAAGATGAAGGACCAGAGAACAATGGAGAAAATAAAAGCACTAAATGAATCGCAAATAGTTTCCGATCCCCAAATTAAGGTTTTCAAATATCAAATGAATGAAATGAATGTAACATTACAGAAATGCAGTGTAAACAGTCTTTTTGAACGTGTTAAAAAGACAGAGTACGAGTTAGAAAACTTCCCCGTCTCTGTAAATGATACTCTACACACTGTTTGTAGGGATCTCAATGAATCCGACTGGATCTTGTCAAAAGGTATAATATGACATTCTATTTCAGTTTAAACTATTAAACAGAATTTTAAAGAGAAAGATTGGAACAAGCCTTTAAGCAGAGAGTTATTTACTTTAAAGTTAAAAATTAACGCCATTTTTTGAGACTGAACATTTAAAGATATATTGTATATAACTTTTTTTTTCCGCGAGAACTATTTTGGTGTAATTACTTGCAAATATTTACTCGGGAAAATAAAAGATTATGTTCAACAAAAAGTAAAATTAATGACAAGTGCTTTCAACGTGACAGCAAACCTGGTTTTCTTTGTGTGAACAGAACTGGTATTTCTCACATCAATAGACAATTTCTTTTCATTTGCAAGAATTATTTCCTTTTGTCGTGAAATACACATTTTTTTCACAATATCCTTTGTAATTTATCTGTAAAAATTTAAATATTCAAATGTCTTTTGACAATTTCATACCATACATTTATTCGCAAAGTATGGGACAACAGAAAAACATAATGAACATACACATAAAGATTTTTTTTATCAGATACAGCCCAATAAAGTTGGTAATGTTATAGAGAGAAAACAGTACCTTATGCAGATTGACCTTAGATTGACCCAAAAGGGAAATAACTTTTGTAAATGTGAACATCGTCTATATAAATACTTTCTATTCTGAACAAATGTAGGAGTTGACATGCAAACAAAATCAATGTACCCTATTAGGATAGTTTGTATAGATATGACTATGTTCAAAAAATGGAATTTTCCCCATAAATGATCAAAATTCAAAATCTAAGTATTAAGCACACTCTGATATATGTACAATTGATCTGAAAAATAAAGACAAATCTTGAAAACTGTAGAAGAAGTTATCTTGACAAATGATGTACTCTATATGCATTATTTTGCAAAAAAAAAACAAAAAAAAAAAAAACAATGATTAAGTTCAACAGCTGGTATTTTTCTCATAAATTATCAAATTCAAGTAATTTGCACATCTCTGATATAATTACAATTTATCCGCAAATGCAAATGGTAGGAATAGTAATCGGGACAAATCATGTGCCCTTTTGGCAGCCGCCCGCCCGCAATTTTCACCGTTTCAATAACCGGATTTTTCTCTTATTGAAAACTACGCGAAACTAACCCATCAAAAAATGTCGGATATATAGATTGCATATGTGTCGGATTAGATAATTGGTTAATTTTATGATCCTCTATTTTTATGCTTCTAAATTCTTTGTTTTGTTGAGATTTTATTACGATATAAAACCAAGTACGAACAATTTCTTAAACGAGGCAAGCTATTGACAAACAAATTGATGAAACAAGGATATCAACAGTCTTGATTAATTTTGTAAGGTCAATGGTCGATACAATGACTTTGTTTGCAAATACGATCTATCATTAAGTCGAATGCTGACTGACGTTTTCTCATAGTAATTGTTATGCCATTATTTACACATGGAACTGTTTACGGATTTTTCCTTTGCCCGACAATGACAAGGAGCACACGGTGAGTGTGACCGGTGGAAAGGGAATGCTTACTCTTCCTTGGCATCTGATCCCACCTCTGATGTTTTTTAGAGGTCCATGTTTGCTCTGCTCCTGATTTGTGTCGTTACAATGGACTTTTGAACTTGATTACCGTTCGGTATCTCCATATTTCATTGAAAAGGTCATTTTATCGACCATAGAATTTACAAAATGTAGACTTTAAACGAGACTGTTGATATCTTTGTTTCATTATCTTATTTGTCAATAGCTTTCCTTGATTCAGAAATTCTTCATACATAGAGCATGCTCTTTAGTATCCAATCAAATGGGAAGCATTTACTCCATATGCAGGTGATAATATTTTTGAGCAACTATATTGCAATATGAACATTTTCGGATCAATCGGGAGAGAACTTTTCTTTTTTATAGATATTATGGACATTTTACAGGATGAGTTTTCCATGTGAATCATTTTTTTCAGTACGTAATATATCGAAACAATTCAAGCGAAATTAAATTCATTCTCAATGTTCGATGTACAATCCCATTTGGAGGCGAGCTAAAAGTAAGCCATATGACGTAAATTGGAATTAGTTTTATAAGAATCGATTTTGGTTCCATAAATTAAGATAAAAAAGCAATATTTTCATTTCCAACTGTTTTCTCTGTAATAACTCTGAGAAAGTAGAGTTTGTTTTTTTTTTTCTCGATAATTACCACTGATTGTAAATTTCGCCATGTGAAAAGTGGAGTGCTTAAAATACATGACAATCAGTGAGAATCCATCCTTCTTCCATAATGTAAACATGGACGCAGAAATCGAAATCGTCCAAAGCACACCGCCTTCATCATCTAATAAACGTGGAAATACGACCGATGTTGTAAACAAAAAATACATCAAACGGTTTTCTCAAAAATTCTCGCCCCATAATCACTTTACAGTTCGAAATACCGAATAATTAGATACTTTGAAAACTGCATTAAAAATGCACAGTTTGCCCAAATAATGGTAGATACTATTAATGCTTATATGAGGCTGCATTCATCATAAATTATGTAAAGCATACCATACACTGTATCTCATTTTCGAACCATATACGATTATATTCGGTTTTCATTATGTCTGTCGTTAGAGGGAGGACACTACGGAAATTAACATGGAATGCCTTGTGTGTTTTATTTCTATCAGAAAGCATTTGCTTTATATTTGCATTTTTATTTCATGAATAGATGTAAAGTTAGCAAAACCTATAGTTTGTAGAAAAAAAATATTGATAATCATGAAGATGGCTTGTGTTAATGTTGAATGCTTAAAATATTTGCTCTGATTAAGCGTGTTTGAGTTAGCTTGCGGTGTTCCGTTGCTAGCAACCCTACGAAATGAATATACGCCGTTAGTTTCTATTTGAATATTTTCGATGATGATGCTGAACAGTTCTGTAATATCATATGAGTTTTATTAATTATAAAATATGGCGAAATAAAACAGTAGCCCAAGCAGTCACACGCAAAAGAAAAGGCGAGTAAAATTTTCTATGTTGAAAAGGAGGTCTCAGCATTAAATTGCCTATCCATTTCTTCAACGTGAAAATTACACTTGAAATTCTTTTTTTTAATTATTTATTTTTTTTTAACTATAAAAATTACATCAATAAACCAATGTATAAAGGTTTTTTTTCTTTGCCTTCACAATTGATACCAGTATGTTTATATGTACATGCTTTGAGAAGGTATTTTGAGAAGTGAATCACTTATCCGGACGATTTATTCATCCGGACGATTTCATTCCGGACGAAGATGTCTGGATTGAAAAGGCGCTACTGTATATGCATTACATGCGAAGCAAATTTTCCCACGTGTCCAACTGTCGTTAATGACCCGGCATACCCAACAAGCTACACTGTAATTCCTTAAGTAATATTAACCAGATCAAAAAAATTCCATTTTGTCAATTCTTGTTCAATCGTATCCAGTTGCGTACAGTGGCTTAAGTGGACAGAATGTGGACTCTATGAGAGTTTGGTTTTCACAATACTTATTTCCGAAACGGAAAGGGATAGGATAGCAGACGAAAATTCCTATTTACGTCTTCTCCCTATAATGACAGTCAAACCATAATTACTTGAGTATATTCTGATGAACACTGAAGTGTACAAGTGTCCTAAACATTTATGTGTCAATTTATTGATCTTTTATACAGTGCTTTCGAAGGACTGTTGGGACATTTTACAGAAATACCCAAGTTTAATGGGAAGGAACGGAGTATATAGAATATCCATAGCCTCTGAGGTCAAGGCTGTTTACTGCGACATGAGTACTGATGGCGGAGGCTGGACGGTGAGTATAAAGTGAAGAAAATAATCTACTCCGTGTTTTTTAAGAAATTAAAAGAAAACATTGATCTTAAAAGAATTTTTCTTTTACAAAATACAGAATCTGTATGTGTTTGTCAAGATCTTTTGAATGAGCACTGAACAAGTCTTGAATTACTCGTTTTTTATTAATTTAAAACGAATTAAAAATCAATTGATGTGTTAAAGGCAATACAAAGACGGAAGGACAATTCTACAGATTTTTACCGAACTTGGCGAGATTACAAACAAGGATTTGGTGATCCATCTAAGAACTACTGGATTGGTAACATTGACTTCTTTCTGTGTAACAAATAACCTAATTTTCTACATGTTAACTGAGTATATTATTTACTTTAGCATCATTTTCTTTATATCCAGAGGCTTTTCTGGGTATTAAAATATCATCTATCTTAGAAAGCAAACAAAAAAGATGCTCAATATGCACCCATTTTTTATTTCTTGTTACTTCCTATTATACACAGGTCAGAATAAAGCAATCTCGCTTGAATTTTAGATAAACTATCACTTCGTTCTTGAAAAGTGTACAAGACAAAACCATTTGAAAGAAATATTTAAAACATTTTTGCTTCTAAATAACTGAATAGGTTGCATAAATACTCAACTAATTTGGTGTCCACTTGCAAACATTCGCTTCATAAGATACATGTAATCTTGAAGTTTGCACGAGATTTTAGATCAATCATTTCGTAGATCCAGTTTTTGCTTACTTCGACCGAGGGCTCATGTAAATATTTCTGGTACATTTTCTTGTGTTATACAATTTTAATCTCAGGAAAATAAATAAAATAATATTATTTACAACAGATATAAAAAAAAAAATAAAGAAATACAGGAAACAGAAAACAATCGAACCTAGAACTCTTTTCAGAATTTCTTAAATGGCATTTATATTTTTTTTTACCAACCTTGGCAAAAAATCTTTAAAATGTTTATCAATAACAAATAGCAGAATAGATCAAACAATAGTATAATCCATGGATAATAATCATAAAAATAATTTTATTTTTTAGTAAACTATAGTTAACTATCGTATTTTTGTTAGGGTTAGTTCACAGTAGTTGCACAAAGAAATAGTTTTAAAACCTCTTTAAAAATGTCCAAACAGCTCTATTTTTCGGGAATCGTGTCCTATAAAAATTGCAATATGAGAAAATGTCACACATGAATATATTTTCTTTGAAATACTTCTCCTTAAAAAACAAGATATGTTTTTGAAACACCGATACCTCTGTATGGCAGTTCATGGCAAAGGTGAAAGATTTTCAAAAGTAAGTTAATCGGTAAGGTCATCTTGTTATGCACATGTAATGTATGAAAGTCCTAGCACTGACTGTTCAATGTTATAACCAAAGTTAATGTTAAAGTTTTTTAAGTAGTTAAAACACAAAGGTCAGGGCCATAAAGGTAAAAAGCATATGCATATCAATAGAAAGGTCTAGTCAAAAGGAATATACATGTGAAAGATGAAAACTTTTGCTCCAACCGAAGTTATGACCAAGGTTAAAGTTAAAGTTATTTCGGACTAACAGACAGACGAACAAGCAACAAACTGTTTACCCCCAAATCTCCCATTACATCAATAATTACACAACAAAGCTATTTTCTTAAAAGCTTTAACATTCTTTTTTTTTCTGATCGTATGTTGATTTATTAAAGCTCAATGCTTCTGCAAGAAACATATTTGTTAATAATGCTGCATTGAAAGACAGTTTAATTTTCAGCATAATGGTTTTAATATTTGAATTCTTTATATTTCTGACTCTTTTGTACTTACATGAATTCTAAATGTGTTTTCGAAATAATCAAAACAAAAATTCTCGATGGCGATTTTTTGATCAAATAAATATTTATCTATTAAAATACGAATTTTATTGATAGCTTTCTAATTGTAATGTCAGCAATGCTAATCATTTGCTAATAATGCTAGTTATGCTTGTATCAGTAAAAGGTCCCTTTCCTGTAGTGATCTTTCATGAATCTTGAACTTCACTCGTATTTCTTAATTGTGCATCATGTGAGGAATCTTGTATTATTCAACTGTTCTTGTTAACACCCGACAACTCCATTTTAATCACATTTTGGCCAACAAAGTGTGTTATGTATTACATTGATAAAATAAGTATTCGAAAGATTATTTACCATCAAGTAAAATGCTTGTTTTACCTTTTTCAAGGAAATGACGCCATCTATGAGTTGACAAAGAACAAGGACCAGGAACTCCGGGTTGAGCTACAAAGTTTTGATGGCGCTGAAGCATACGCTCATTATTCCACATTTTATGTCGGAGATAAGTACAATAAATACGTACTCACTGTATCGGGGTATTCAGGAACCGCAGGTAGGTCGACTCATAACACTGATACATAGTGTTCAGTCATCACAACGGATTTGAATATCTGTTATTTAATTTTGCTTATAAAACCCATTGACTGGATAGAAAAAAAAAGTTTATTTAGTGCAACGTGTGTTGCTTACGTCACAATTTGACTTACATCAAAACGTTTGTATGATGTCACATTTTTTTTTTAATTTAGATTGTCCATTGTATATATACATAGATATAAATGTTGTCACATTTTAATTTTGCATTTTATGAAGACATTTTTAAAAAGATATTGACTTAAAATGTACACTTTCAAATGATAGAAAAATTATACTCTAAGGAATAAATAAAATAGCTACGCAAGTTATGTTAGGTCTTGTAAAATCTGGATTGCAACTTTTTTTTTTTTTTTTTTTTTTTTTTTTTTTTTTTTTTGGCTTTTTGAAAAAAATGTCTTTAAAGCGTAAACTGTCCCAACCAAGGTTATACAGTATAACTTCAATAGATATTTAATTCATCCCTAAAATTTTCGTGTTGCAAAACTTATAACCCAATCATCATCATGGACTTATTATCATTAATTTTAGAAACATAAAGCAAAAAGACAATTTAAAAGGAAATAAGGATGTGGGATGTGTGATAATGTCCAGAATTAACTTATATACATAGAAATTTATGCCATTTAGGCACAGGTACTTGTGGACAGGACCCCCCCCCCCCCTGAAAATACCCCCCGGGTCAAAAAATATTTTTATGTCTTTTTTTCATAAATTATTCTTCTAGTACATATTTACAATGTATTCCATAAGAAAAATCCAAAAAATAACGCAGAATTAACGTTTTACTAAAAAATCATACCCTTGGATTTTTCTTATGGAATACATTGTAAATATGTACTAGAAGAATAATTTATGAAAAAAAGACATAAAAATATTTTTTGACCCGGGGGGGGGGGGGGTCCTGTCCACAAGTACCTGTGCATTTAGGTACATAGACAGTGCATATTATATTTCAAATTGCTTTGATACAAGCTTTGTCTTAGGATGCATTTTGAAAATGTATGTTGTAAAAATAATCTATTACACATTTATTTGTTATTAATACATTAATCATATACACCGTTTTCTTAAGTCACGGTGGCGGTTACGATGTAATGATTATTGTTTCATTGAATTATAGATTATAATATTATCAATTCTCTGTCCTAGGGGATAGTTTGGCTTATCACAGTGGATATAAATTCAGCACCACGGATCAGGACAATGACGGGAGTAGTCGTCACTGTGCTGCATCATATCACGGAGCCTGGTGGTACAAATCCTGTCACGACTCAAACCTTAACGGACAGTACACACAGTCTGCTCTGACTGGTGGCAAATACCCGGTATGGCAAGGCTGGAAAGGACGTGAAGCGCTACAAACGACTTTGCTGATGATCAGACACCAAAACTAAAGAGTTTTAAAATACATATTCAGTCCTGACAAGAATGATGATTAATAAATTAAATACTGTTCTCTTATCAAATAAATAGTATAAACAACTTTATGCCGTATACTCATTACAGTACTGTCAGTACTCAAATCTTAATGGACAGCATACACAGTCTGCTTTAATTTGTCTGTTGAACAATACCCGGTATGATATCACTGGAACGAAAGCAAGAAGCGTAACAAAAGACACTAAAACTAGAGATCATTTATTATCAGACCTGACATGTTATTAAAAATTTGATATTTAATTTTTGTCAAATAGCAACTTTATGTTGTTTAGTTATTTCAGTTGTCTCCCGTAAATCACATACAATATACGGCATTTGCTTCTTAACCACAGTTATCTGGTGCCGTCTTCAAACTCTCTCTCTCTCTCTCTCTCTCTCTCTCGATGCAGTTGTGACTTCATTGTTCAAAGTATTAAAACTCTCTGAGAAAAATCATAAATAACACTGTTATTAAAAAAAGAGAACGGTTTTATATTGATTTTAACTAAAGACTGTTTTTATTACGTTCCATAAATTCTTAAATTTCATTTCAAGAGCTGAAATCGTTCTTGACATAAATACACTTTACAGAAATTTTGCTTTGTCTGAAGATAAAACACTCTTGCTTGAGGTGTTATCGTTCTTTGTAACTATATGCATAAAAATGACCAGGTAAAATAAAAATAAAGCAGTTCTATTTAATTTGTAGAAAATTAAATTATACAATTAGATACATTGACCGAAATCGATTTAAAAACAAATAAATAAATACACTTAATCAGCAATTTCAATCATAAGGAAACTCTTTTTTTCCCCGGATGAATTCATTAAAAACTTCAATTTATTCTTTTTGCACTACATTTCATAAATATATACTTCTGAACGCAAATAAATATGGAGAAGCTTGTTCTGTGCGAGTGTGAAAAACGAACTGCACTAATAGCAGATCCTGTTGCGTTTATTGCGATATGAACGCAGCTGGTGAGTGCAGGTTCATAATGGGAGAAAACAGAGAATATTATATCATGACATGGTGTATAAGTCAAAGGTCATTTGGTTACAATAATTATTAATAGTGGTCATTGAACTTAAGACTGCTCCAATCAAATGGAAACTTCATTTCATCATGTTCAAACCTCCAAAGTTATGCAAGTAATATAGAAGGAATGATATTTTTTGTTTCATAAAATCACAGCTAGGTTTTATTTATTTATATTCTTTTTTTTTTGTTTTTTTTTTTTTTTTTGTTTTTTGTTTTTTTTTTTTGTTTTTTGTTTTTTGTTAATTTATCCAACTTTTTTATATACAACGTCATATATGACACAGCTAATTGTGCCACGTACGTGTAACGTATGGTAGCACATACCATATGTTACACATATGTGAAACATACGTAACACATACGTGTATTCCAACCGCACGTTACACGTACGTGGTACAACGTATGGATAACATGCGTTTGACAACATATGTTTCACATAACATACGTGAAACGTGCGGTTGGAATACACGTATTTGTTACGTACATGTAACATATGGTATGTGCTACCACACGTTACACGTACGTTTATAAACGCACGGTTTACATGTGTATTGTAAACCACACGTTAAACATACGTTGATGAACGCGTGGTTTACATATGTATTGTCAACCATACGTTCCACATACGTTAATAAACGCATGCTTTATATGTGTATTATAAACCATACATTACACATATTTCACACACATGGTTTACATTTATTATCAACCACACATTACACATACTTTAATATATGCATGGTTTACATGTATATAAACCACACATTACATGTATGTTAATGACAAGTATGCGTATTATCAGCTACCTTACAGGTATGTTAATAAAAATTGTTTTACATGTGAGTGAAAAGCTAGCCATTTTTGAGAAGGCTGTATATTTTCTATATTAATGGTACTTTTACATACATGTATAATAAATGTAAGTCAACTATAATTAAATTTAATCCTTTTCATTTTTTTAATTTCAATTTCGTTTAATTAATTAGTAGAACAATTATTTCATTTTAGTCAATAAGTGAAAAAAATCCCTAAAAGTTTTATTGTAGCAGGGACTATAAATAGTTTTCATATGACATATTTTCTCTCCAAGTTATTTCCCTTGGCCCCCATTTTGGTGGTCAACCTGGTAATTTTTCCTCTTTGTCTTACCAAATTCAAGAGGTTGTACCAGAAATATTTGGGGGGAAATCTTTATGGAATAAAAATTATGAAATGAAAGAGGCTTTAAGAAATGTATATTTTTCAGAAAACCAATGTTTCCTACGCCACAATGGCCAGTATAAAAAATTAAAATAATGAAGGAATATGAGCATGTTGACCCCAATATGGTGGCCAACGGGATATAACTCTTAATAATTTGGGCCTACTGAAAACTATCTATAATATATTCTTAAATTGGTGACATTTTCAAATACAGGAACTTTTAGTACAAAAGTACTCAGACCAAATACTTTTTTTTACTTAAAAGTTCAAAGTGAATTTGGAGAACTAATCAAGATAATGTTTAACAATCAATAACCTGTAAATGTGTAATTCATGAAACAGAATATTCCGACCAACTTGGTCTAAGTATAAAATCCCTCTTAAAAACGGGACTCTAGATCGTAAGTTGCATGGGTTTTAATCATTATACTGTAATATGTTTTAAAGATTCAACTTTTTTTTTCAAAAATAATATCATATCATGATCTATGATTAAAACCCAATCACCTCTGAAAGTTCACAGGTGTGTGCGTTGTTGACTTGTTGAGCGTGTTTTGCGTCTTTAATGTTCCAATTTATTTCACGTTGTTTACCTTACGTCCACTTGCATGTCTGACATGGAGTAATCAGTTCGCATTGGTGTATAGTTTACTCTCAGAGCAGTAAAACATAGTCTACAGTACACCAATCTCGTAATGTGTATATCGGATATCGGTAGAGGAACATAAAATTCAACTTGATCATAATCAGGATAGATATAATCATTCCGAATTCAGGAGCAAAAGGTGAATTAAAAAAAAAAGAAAAGAAAATCACGATAATTTCACAACAAAATTCAAATGGAATTCACCTAAATAGATATTAGATAATTATAAAGTAGGTAGTGTCCGTATAACACTAAAATATGTAAAATATACGTTCCGGAATTTTTACCTCCAATTATTATTTACGTTACGGGTGAAGTCACTGTGCGAATTTTTACATGAATGTTTTGAATTGCGTTCTAAAAATAGAGCACAATAATATATATTTAATGCATTAATTAGTTTATCTCTGTCCATATTATACTGTTTATACTATTTGCATAATGATTATGTATAACTTCAAGTTGTAAAAGTAGTTGACTTCACTGATTTGTACACTTGCATGTATGTATGTACTTTAGTATATGTTTTAGTAATCTGAAAACACACTGTATTTTTCATTTTGTTTGTAACATGGTTGTATGCCAACATGTTTGGTGAATCAATAAATTGAATTGAATTGAATTGAATTGGTAAGAAGTCTGACGTCTGCAAGACAGTGTCTGGAGTTAGGCTAGGATGACGGTGAGGAATACATAACATCAACAGTTATTTAATTACTTTATATTTCAGACTGTGTTGCATGTAAACTAACGGGTGTGTTTCTTTATTTTAGTGTATAACGTAATGTAAACTAAGTAAGAAAATATTGACGCAGTCAGCTGTCTTGGTCAGCACCCCAGCCCAGGTGTGAATCAACACTGGCACATTATATCAAAATTCAGGTGAGGTTTAAAACATACTGTTATAAAAAATATTTATTGTAATTGATTTTTTTTTTTTAGCCTACCAATAAGATGCAAATAAAACCCTTGATGGAAAAAGTTCCACCCACCCAATGACCCAATGTATTTCTCTACAAAACATGTAGAGGAAATATAAATTACCTTTTAGGGCAATTAGGGTGTAACACTTATTTTTCAGATGTCTTTTTCATACAGTCCTTACGAATATAATTAATGTATTTTAATGAGATTGTGATTTTTTTTTTTTTTTTGTGATTTTAAATGTACACTCCAGGATGATAGCTGAAGCTCTGACATCTCCTATGTAAACACCTAAATGCCAAGTCTGGACTTCAAAAACAGATTCTGAAAGTTTAATCAGCAATATGGTAATACTCTTTAAAAAAAATCAGATTTTCTGATCCCATTGCTTTTAGACTTGCAATTACATATATCATGTAATGATGTGCATTACATTTCAATCACAAAAGGAGAAAATGTTAAATGTTATCAGTAAAATAATTAATTTTTTATCTTGTTTGTTTTGCTTTACAAGTCTGAAATGCAATTTTTTTTACCTCAAGGACAAAAAGTATAGACTTTGAACAGACACAAAAACATATAGGTCCATGGCAAGCTATGAAAGATTTATGCTGAGGGTAAGTTCTGTTATTAGATCTATTATATAGAATTTAATTGTCAGACATATGGTTATGTCTAAAATTTTACTGTTGTATTTATATCTGTGATAAGCAATATTTGCTCAAGTGAGCTTTTCTGATCACATTTTGTCTGTAGTCTGTCTGTCTAGCTGTCCGTCTGTCTGTAAACTTTTCACATTTTTGACCTCTTCTCCAGAACCAGTGGCCTTATTTCAACCAAACTTGCCACAAACCATCTTTGGGTAAAAGGGATTAAAGTTTGTTCAATTAAAGGGCCACACCCTCATTAAAGGGGAGATAATTAAGAAATAGTGAAAATTTATTGGGATGTTTTAAAAATCTTCTTCTCAAGAACCACTTGGCCAAGAAAAGTTGAAATTTATAGGAAACTTTGTATGTCAAAGTGTAAATTCAAATTTGTTTAAATCACGGGGGGGGGGGGGGGGTAGGTTGGGGCCACATTAGGGGATCAAAGTTTTACATAGGAATATATAAGAAAAAATCTTTAAAAATCTTCTTCTCAAGAACAGCAAAGCCTTGACCCCCAGGGGTAGGGAGGGGCCACAATGGGGTATCAATATTTTACATATGAATACATAGGGAAAAACTTTAAAAATTCTTCTTCTCAA